GCTTGGAAAAACACAGAACGCAGGGCCCCGTCCTCCCCAGAATGTCTCATCAGGATATCTAGGGCCAGGTCTAAAGCTCTGCAGCTCTTTCAAGTTCCTGGGTGCTGGTGGTGGCGGTGGTCTGGACAGTCAATGCAGACATTGTAGATATGCTGCATACGACGTGTGCTCCAGGAAGAAGTCACATCCAACCCTACTTAGCTGGAGCACAGAAAAGAGCTGACAGATCATGACCCTGATCAGACTGGAATAATTCAATATGAAGACACTGGGCACACACTGGGCTGTTTTCATCCGGTCAAAAGCCTTCCATAAGGCAGGATCTGCGTCCATTGTTTCTTGCTCCAAAGGTCATCCTCATTTTCCATTTCTCTGTCTTCAACATCATCATTGAACATTCATTTCATTCAAAGGTGGACTTGATCATGTCATGGTACCATAACAAACACAGCTACCACTGATTGAGGAAGTGGGCACCAAGTATTCTTGTCTGTTTCCTCGCTGAATCCTCGCCCAAGCCCCTGGAGGTAGGCACCACAGATCCAGCGATTACATAGCAACTAAATAGCAATCTGAGGCTCTGACCCAGGTCTCCACCTCTGCTGTCTGATGCTCTCCATCATACATGGGTGAGCTGTATTTCTTCCCTCATTTGTTCACCAAATATTTTCTGAGCACCTACTGGGTGCTGATGATGTGGCTAAATAAGACAGAAAAACTGTCTGCTTCTGTGATGTTCATGGTCTTCTCTTCTTCTTCTTCTTCTTTAAAGATTTATTTATTTGAAAGGCAGAGTTACAGAGAGAGGGAGAGGCACAGAGAAAGGTTTTCCCTCTGTTGGTTCACTCCCCAAATGGCTGCAATGGCCAGAGCTGAGCTGATCTGAAGCCAGGCGCTTCTTCGGGATCTCCCACATGCATGCAGGGGCCCAAGTGCTTGGGCCATCTTTTGCTGCTTTCCCAGGCTGTTAGAAGGGAGCTGGATTGGAAGTGGAGCTGCCGGGATTCGAACTGGTGCCCATATAGGATAATGGTGCTGCTGGCAGAGGCTTAACTTATTGCACCACAGTGCCGGTCCCTCTTATTCTTATAAAAGGAGATTATACTATTCCTCTCTTAGGGTTACTAGAAGGGTTGGGGAAATGTGTGCCTGGTATACAAGAGGTGCTCAGTAAGTGTTCATTTCGGAACTCCTTTACCCCCAAGAGCAGGCAACTTTCTCTTCATGTAGGTGGCGGAGGGAATGGTTGGGGATAATTCCGAGAGTGACTACTTCTGCTGGAAAGAGAGCTTGCGTCATCTTCAAATCCATGCAACCCACGTTCTGTTGCCTCTCTGAGCAAATGCTCATTTCCTGCTCTCGGGGAGCGAGGCTCAGTTCCTCTTCTGTCTCCTCAGCCTCTTCTCTCCCTCCCTGTTCTAGGTGGCGTCACAGAATCAGCCAAGGGCACAGCAAGCCCAAGAGATCTTCAAGTCTCAAAATTCCTTTGGAGGCTTTGTGCAATTATGAGAGATGGAAAATGGCGAAATGTGGGCTCCAGGCGGCGGGTGTGCTGGGGAGGAGGCGGCGATGAGGAGAGACACGTGCAGGTTGGGAGGCCAGGCCTGCCTAGGCGTGAGGGAGAAGGAAGTCACCATGTCTCTCTCCAGCATGAGGAGTCCGAAGCCCCTGCACGGGAGGTGTGCATCTTAGGGATCTGGGCTGTTATTGACGCAGCTTCCATCTTCACCACCTGTGTGCAAATCAGTTCTTTCACCGGCTCCATTTTAATGATTTCCTTTTCTCTCCTTAGGAAGAGGGTTCCGCTCTGTAACGTGATCAATGCACAGAAACCCCCATTGGAGGCCTCTGTCACTACAGACAAGACCATTCAGAGGAAATTCTGCATGCTTTCCACACTCAGGGCAAGGAGCAACCCTCAGAGTGCAGCAGCTGACCGGCTCCAACCGGCCTGGGGCTGCTCCATCCGGGTACCTGCGTGGGGTGGGAGAAGAGCTTAGGTTTAGTCCCTCAGGTACCTCCTGACCCTGAGCCAGCTCCGTCATGTGTCAGAGCCGCAGCGTCCTTGTCTGCGGGTGGAATTTCACGTGTGACCCTCACTTTTTTTTTTTTTTAAGATTTATTTATTTATTTGAAAGTCAGAGTTACACACAGAGAGAGAAGGAGAGGCGAGAGAGAGAGACGAGAGAGGAGAGGTCATCCATCA